TAAGAGATTATTCTTGTTTTAGTCTGAAGAGGAAGGGGGGAAAAAAGCAATCTATGAAGAGCAGTGGTAGGAATAAAAACAGCTTGAGGAAAGTCAGCAAGATCAGTGTATGAATATTCTGTAAGTGCAGAAATCCTGCCAGGCACAAGGAAAAAAATCCAGACATTTCACATGTCAGAAATAAAAGAATCTCAACCAAATATCTCTCTCTCTTTTTTTTTTTTTTTTTAAACTGGTGAAAATTTCCCAACCAGCCCCAAAACGTTTCGCTGCTTGTGTGTAACCAGAGGAATGTCAGGGCAAAGACCTCTGTCTCGTTTACAGGGGGTTTGACCAGGAATTTACTAGCGGGAAAGCAACAGGGGAGACGCTGGAGAGCCTCATTTATCCCGAAATCCAGCGGCATCGGATGTAGTTGGTGGGTTTGGTAAGTGACCCATGGATTGGGAGCAGCTCGGGGAGCTGGGTGGGAACAGTGCCAAGGTCTGTGAGGGGCAGAGTGGTCCAAAAAGAGGAAAAAAAATCCACCTTTTCCAAGAGGAAAATTCCCCCTTTGCTTGGACATCGGGAGCTGCCCCCCCAGCGCCAGCCGGGGCCGCAGCGCCACCTTCGGGCACGAGGGGGAACTGCACCCGGCCCCGATGGAGGGCCTAAAAATGACCTTTAATTGGGGGGTTTTTGTTTGTTTTATGCATTTTGGATTTTTTTATCTTTTTTTTTAAATTTTGGATTTTTTCTGCTTTTTTTTAAACCGTGGTTTTGGGGTAGAAATACGGACGAGGTGCTGTAGTTCGGTGGTGTTTCAGCACAAAACACAGCCCCAGAGTCCTCCACTGCTCCTGGGAAAACCAACAGCCCATCCCAGGCAATTCTAGTGCCATTTGTGACTTCCACCTCTCCCTTCCTGCAGCTGAACCCCCTCTGAGGTCATTCCCCATCAGCAAACTAAGAAAGGAGGAGGAAAACCAAGCTTGTAGAGCCTCAGAAATCAGTCTTTTCATTTGACTTTACAAACCTTTTTACAGCTGTGTTTGGGCTTCGTGGCTGTGGGAAATCTGCCCTTCACCAAAAGAGCTTCAAAATGCCATGACTGCCATCACCTCTCCATCACTGGCCAAACTGAGACAATACCTGGAGAACACAATGACTGGCATTTGGCTTCCTGTTGGCAAAGCTCTTCTCCTGGAATTTGTTCTGAAGCTCAGGTCTGCTTTTATCCAGAGGGGCCATCAAGTGAATAATAGCTAACGGAGAACCATTTAAATCCAATTAAATAACTCCTTACCTATTAAAAAAAAAAAAGAAAGAAAACATCTCCTGAGGAGCCATCCAGGGATAGAGACTTTAGCAGAGACAATCATGGGCAGCAGGATTAAAGAATATCCCAAAACAGCATTCACAATTTAACAAGCTTTCAGTTTGCTGCCATTCTGCTGCACTGAGCTTTTCTGGAAATGAACAATCCTTGGGGATCAGTTGGGAACAAGTGCTTAAAACAGTCTTTACCCACAGCAATTCTACTCCTGTTTCTGTCCCTTCCTCTCCCTCATACCAAGAACTCAAAGAGGAGCAAGAGGCAATTACCTCGGGGGTCAGAAGGGTTGTGCTGGTTTGCTGCATGTCAGGTTGGATGCTTGGGCTCATCTTAAATTCCCTGGATCGGGCTGGTCAGTGCAGCTGCTTGGCCAGAGGGCTACAAACAGCTCCAGCATGACCATGTCCTGTCAAACTGATGGCCCAGGGCTTGCTCCCTTTGCTCCTTGGAAGGGCTCATTAGTGCCTGAGCCCTCCACAAACACAGTCCCCAGAGACCCCAGAAGGTCGAGGGGTGCAGTCAGGAGCTCTGTGTGCCCTGGAAGTGGCACTTACTGCAGGCAGCCCCACAACAGCAGAATTGTTGAGCTGGTTCCCTTTGATTTCCCCCATGAACAACCAGCCTGCCTGAAGCGAAGCAAAACCAGCAAATGAGGGGAAGAGTGAGATTTTCAGAGGCAGCGGAGTCAGATCCTGATCAGTAACACTTAGGTAGCTTTAAACATTTCCCAACAGTGTCATTGCTGTTCTCTCTCTTTCTCTCTCTCTGGTGACAGACTCTGCTGCTGCTTCACTTGTCTCCAAGCTCAACTCCAAGACAAAACAACAATAAAATTCTACATGAGATCTAACACTGCCTCCCAGCAGTACACACTTTGTTGGAACTTATTAACCAGCTCCCAGCTTGTTCCCTGCATAATCACTTTGTACTTCAAAGCCTCTGCCAGCAGACAGAGCTAAATGATGGTGTTAAATTCAATCATGTATAAAATTAATTAGTTTGGGGGCAGGACAGTGGATATTGGTTGTCAAAAGTTGGGATATTGGCTGAATGGGCTTGCTCAGGGCTCTGGGGACCTTTAGCTTCCCAAGCAAATCCTTGTGCTCTGTTACCCTGGATGTGGCTTTTCAAGTGGGGCGGATGAGGAGAGAACTGGTGGCTCCCTGCAGAGAATTGTTCAGGAATACCAGAATTATCCCTGAGTGGAGCAGAAGGCTGTGCTTGTTCCTGCTCCTACACTTGGATAAATGCACACTTGCAAGATTTGACACATTAGGTCAGATCCCAATTGATGCTTTAGAAATCCCCCAGTGTTACAGAACCACAGGACCCCAGAATTACTGGGGTTGGAAGGGACCTTAAAGATTACCCAGTTCCACCCCCCTCCAACACTTTCCACTAGACCAGATTGCTCAGACCTCCACCCAAACTGGCCTTGAACACTTCGAGGGATGGGGCAGCCACACCTTCTCCAGGCAACCTGCTCATAATTCCTTATAATTATAATTACCCTGCCCTGTCAGTGCTGCTCTGCACATCCAGGTGTGGCTGAGCCATCTGGCCTGGTGTCTCAAGGCCAGGTTTCCCAAGAGGTTATTAGAGGACTCCAGGGACCTCTGGGCCCCCAAGCTGGCTGCTGGGAATTCTGTTCCACTCAAATCACCAGGAGGGAAAACAGCATCTGGCTCATCCCCTGCTGCGGGTCACTTCAGGGAACGGCCCCTTCTCTGCATCTCTGGTTTCCTTCTGGGATAATCCTGTCCCAATTAGCTTTGGAGGACTTAGACATTAATTTAATTATTTTTTTTAAGCCTCCCCATCGAAGGGAAGGATCCCAGAACTCCGGACCTGTGAGGCATCGGGGCAGCTCGAGCCTCCCTCCCCGCCTCTCTCGGCTGAACACGAGGGGTTTAGCAGCGATTTTCACATTTCCTCTTAATCCAACAGTTAGCTGTAAATCTGCCCCCCACCTCCCCTCGTCGGGGCTGGGCTCGCTCTCACCTCGGTGTGACTGCGCTTAGTTAAGCCCCGGGCTGGGATTTGATGCCCTGAATTGGTGTGAATCGTCTGCAAGGAAAGGCAGCAGCTCTCCGGGTTACACTCCCACATCTCTTTGGTGCTCATTAGGAAGGCAAGAGCTCCCCAGACAGAAGCAGGCGCTGAATATCTACTAAACACGAGCAAACACAGGGCCTTGGAGGGCTCAGGGCAGAACCACACACAAATCCCCACCTAATTTGAAAACAGGGCTACAATCAGGGCATGGGCTCTCTCAGTGTTGGGGGGGTTTGTTGTTTGTTTGCCAAACAAAACTCTGCAAAACCTCAAACACACCAAAAGCCCTCAAACACACAAAAAAAACCCCCGAGCATCTGTCTCTCCCACCCCCACCTAAACCACACAGGGACTGCCCACACTTCCCATTCTGGGAGCTGATTTGGGATGAGCCCCCTGGAGCCAGGAGGATGGAGATACCATGATTTTGCTGCTCCTGCAGCAACACCCACATTCTCGTGGCCGTACAGAAACCCTAAAGACAAATCAGCTGTTGATGCTTCCCCTGAATGTTAATTTGGTTCAGGGAGAGAACAGAGAGGCCGCTGGAGGAATCCACTGATTCCAGCCCGTGCTTTCCCTACCAGCAGCCCCTCGGTGTGTGAGGAAGGGCTTGAAGAGATGCCTCAGCAATTAGCACCGTCCGGGCAGGGCGGAGGCGCAGACACAGCCATTGTCTGGCGATGTTAAACCATGTTTTTGGAGGCACAAGACCGAGCGCCACAGCCTGAGCCAGCCCTCGGCTAAAATAATCTGCCTGAAAAATAGGTGTTAGACTCCCCTTTGTTCATCATTATCAGGCACTTAGAGGCAGCGAGTCAGGTGGTTAAAATCAATTTCTGAGGAGGCTGCAGAGCCACTCCTGTTCCATGCTGCTCGAATTCTTCAGTGGATAATCGGGATGCAGGGAAACAAGTTGCTTTTATAAGATCTCTGGACTATTGGCTTCCCCACCAAAGCAACCACCCGTTCTTCTCACAACTGCTGTCTCCCCAGAGAGATCCTGGTCTGCAAGAGGCTCTTCAAAGACAGATGGACGGTCTGCCTGCTTTATAACCAAAAATACCAGCTCTTCCCAAAAGAAACCAGATGTTGAACTTCACAAAGAAAAGTCAAAAACCGAGATTCAGAAGAATATTCAGCTGTTTACCCAAGGACCCCTGGGAGGTTTAAACCTGATTTCCCACCCAATTGAATGATTCCCTGGGCACTGGAACACACCCCTGAGTCAGGAGACAAACACCCCTGCCTACAACACCAACATTAATGGGCATAATCCTAAATTCTCACTGCAGCCGTGCCCATCCTGCATCCCAAGTGCAAGGAATGGTGCCCATGGGGTCTTCAGACCCACTCAGGGCAGAGCAGGGAGAGCAGGGCTCAGTGCCCTGTGCTGATACATCCCCCAGAGCTGGTCCCACGTGTTCCTGCACCTTCCCTTTCCCCTCGGCACCGACACTGCCGCTGAAAACAGGTCGGGGCTGCCTGGTCTGACCCAGCCACTCACCCCGGGCACGCAGAACGCAGTGTGCTGCTGCTGTACTTTACCACCTTCTCCTCAGACACCTCGCACCGGGAGAGGATTAACGAGCATTAACTGCCTTCCCGAAGGTTCCCATCCCGCTGTTCCAACTGCCAGGGAACCCAGATGAGAGCAGCTGCAGGATTAACTACTCCTGTCCTACCCAGAGGACAAGGTGGGTGGGTGTTGGGGGGAGCAGGGAAGGGCTCCCCACACTTGTGCAAACCCTCAGAGCTGGTGCCCATTTCCACCCCAAACCCGGGCTCAGAGCAGGTTGGTGGGTCAGGGGAGGATTCCTTGTCAAAACTCCTGTTCTCGTGCAAAGGGCTGGAGCTGCATCTCCCCAATTCCCACCTGGAATTCTGTCTGCTCCCTCGGGTGACCGCCAGGACAGATCTGGGGCAGCATCCCCTTGGGTGTGCAGAGCTGTGGTGCTGCCCAGCCTCCAAATCTGAGCCCCCCACCCCGGCAATTCCTGCAGCAGGATCATCAGGGCACAGTAACGATCCAGGGATGCCCAGGAATCAAGAGCCACACACACATCCAGCACCCCGGGGTTACAACTCCATCAGCACCGGCGGGATCCTGTGCCCACAGCCAGTTAATTAGGAGAGCAGGCGGCACACAGAGCACAGCTTTCTGCTTCGCTTGCAGGAACGGCGGCGCGGGGAGGAGACAGACCATTAGGGCTGCGTTTCCAAGGAGATTTTCACACACTCTGATGGGGAGAAAGAAAAAAAAATGCCCAACACATTTCACGCGAGCCGAAGGTAGTAATTCCGCTGGCACTCCTTATCTGCTGAGCACGTCGAGATAAAACACCGGTGAAACTACAATAATGAGCGTTAATTGGGCTTGTTTTGTGCTGTTCTCCACATAAAGAGTAGCAAGAAAAGAAGTTGCCCAAACAGCTTAAGAGCAGCGGTAGCACTTCTGGTGACCACATCTCGACTCTGTGAACTTGTCTCTCAGCACCTGGAAGTCCCTCAGGTTGACAGCCCAAGAGCTTTCAGGGTAATAACGTCAGGGCAGGTGAGGAATTCCCGGTGTTTTAATTGGACAACACAAGCTGCACAATCCCAGCCACACTTCCCTGGGTTTGGGCACAACCTGGGTCTGACTGTCAAACAGGCAAGAACAACCTCTAATCACAAAGCCTTGAACTTTGCTGCAGCAGGGCGAGTGCAGATCTCTGCAGACGTTTTCCCCATGATTCATCATTTTCTAACATATTATCCTGAAGCAGCTGCTCCTCTCCTTTCATAACCCTGATTGATGCCTCTCCTACCTGGAGGAGAACAGGCCCTGAATAACCACAGCATTTCCATCAGGCAAGGAGGGCAACAGGAGACAAAGGAGATCTGAGGCCGTGGGGAGGTTCTTATTCATTCCCCCTCTGTACTGAGATTTTCAATTAAACGTGTTTTATAAATCCTCTATTCTCCTTTGCCTGCACAAAGGGGAGGGAGGAGGGTAAGAGCAGGTTCCCCTCCCACTCCAGAGCACAGATGCCTCCAGCATCCCTGTCCCCAGGGATTGCAGCCCCAGGGTGATGTGGGCTGTAGGTGCTGATGCCTGAAGCATCCCAAGCACCCACCCTGCCCTGAGCTGCCCGTGGGGACCAGCTCTGCCAGCCTGACCCCACACAAACCCATCCCTGACCCCACACAAACCCATCCCTGACCCCACACAAGCCCATCCCCACAGGGCCACGCTCAGGACCAGAGCCTGGCAGTGACCCCTGCAAACAACACAAATTTCCCACCAAGGGGTTTATTAAAAATAACATTAAAAAAAAAAAATCCGTATATCCACTGAATAAAGCAAAATACAGAACCTAAATACCTTTCCCAGCCTGGCCACACTGTCACTGCTGCCTGGGTGGGAATCCTGTCCCATGTGAATCCTCCTTTCCCCTCTGTCCACACCACAGCCAATAGACACAGATTTTCCCCCCACAGCAGCCTGTCAGCAGAGAACAGGAAAAAGCCATTTGTTTCCAGCCTTGAAATGCAATTTGTTTGGGGGTTTTTTATTATTATTATTGATTTTAAGGTTGTAAACGCTCTGGCCGTGTCTGGTTTTCAAATGCTAATGATGGTAACAGCAAAAGGAGATGAGGGAGCAGGGAAGGAAATTGCAGCATTTCACAGCTACCAAAGTCTTTAAACATCCCTGGCTATACAAGGAAACCAACAGGGAGAGTGTAAGGATGATAAACAAGTAATTTGCTCTCTCGAAGATGCCTGCAGATTCAATTTTGCCTCTGGCAGTTGCCTCTACTTAAGCAGGTTTCCACACATGTGGGTCAAATGAGAAGACACAGCGAAACGACAAGGAAAAAAGTAAACTCTAATGGAGTTATCAGCTGCAATAACACCCCAGGACTGGATTTGTTTTATTTAACAGAAGTCTCCTGGTGCTCTTCACCAGCCTGGGAGACGTTTCTGGATCCCTGGGGACCGTGCCAGGGAGAGGAGGTTGGTCCCAACCCCACTGGTATGGGCTGACCTGTGGGGTTTGGGGGGCAACTCTGCTTTTGGGCATGGTTTTGGGATTCTCGGGGTGCTTGGGTGGGCAGGGCTGTCCCAAAGATCAGGGACACCAGGAGGATGAAGGGAGGGATGCTCTGACATGAGCTGGGCTGTCAAATTCCCAGCTTGGACACAGCAGCCCCCGGGAGCAACAGCTCAGCCCACCAAGTTCATGTTCAAGGCAACACTTTAAACACTGATCCTTTAATTCTTTAACACAACACTGTCATCTTTTGTTGTTCTGCTTGCCAGTTTTTACAGCTTCACATGGATTTTCCATTAAAATCCAACTGGCTTGTTCTGCCTGGGAGAGTCCCCACCAGGCACCGCTTTGGGGCACTCACCATGTGTTCAGCATCTTTATTTATGCACCCAGACGTGCTCTCTAATATTAAAGCAGGATCAGAGGCTTTAATTAAGTGGGAAAAAAACAAATCTGAGTGAGGGAAAAGGGGGAGGTGAGGAAAAGGTGAGGCTGAGAGTCACTTCTGGTTTATAATTCCCTTAAAACGATGGAAGCTGCAGTTCAAGAGGTGATGCTGCCCGATTTCACTGTGGAGTTTTCCCCCTCCAGAGTGCAACCAGGGGGCATTTAAAAACAGATTAATGTTTTGGGGTGTTTCACATGGTACCAGGATGGAGCAGGGCTGGGCTGGATCCTTCTGCACTCCAAGGAAGGGGAGCGATCACTCTGCAGGGAAATTTGTTTGCCCAAGACAGACACCACAAGGTGACTTTTCTGAGAGCTCTTCACAATCATTTCAAGCAATGAAAAACTCAGATTATAGCAAGTTTTCAGCTTCCAGACTCCCCAAGTTTGAGGAAAGCAAAGGACAGTCCTACCTGGAGTCAGCTCAGTGGCAAGAGTGAGCTGGGCTTTGAGGTCCTGAAGTCCCCAAGAACTGGGAAGTCTCAGCAGTTTATATTTTCAGGAGGCAGTGGGGAACTCATTCGTGGCTTCATTTTGACAGGGAGCTGGCATTTAATACAGCATGAGATACCAGGAATTCCCAGCCCTCACTCCTGCCCTCATTCCTTCCCAAGGAGATACCCCAAGATGCCATAAAGCACTTGCAACACTATTAATTTTACAGCATCTGAACCAGAGCAAAATGACCAAATCTTGCTTTTCCTGACCTGAAACCACAAAAAGCATTTTGGTGATTAAATGCTACAGACAGACCAAGCCTGTGTTGTGCTGTCAGCAATAAAAGTTTAACAGCATCACACACCACAAATAAAATATTTGTGTTGAAAAGGGAGCCAAGGCAGCCTATATAAACCCAAGCCAGCAAATTTTATTTATTTAACCAGCAAGCCACCCACAAAAAAAAAAAAAAAAAAAAGTAACCAGGTGCTGTGCCAAATGATTTTGCAATCACAAAACCTCTACCTCTGCTCCACAGAAGGAGTGGAGGATGCCAGCTGTAATAAAACCAGTGGTTAATGTGCTGTGCTTTGTGGTGTATTGGTGTTATCAGCTGCCAAAAATTAGTGATGCAACCCAGCATTACCCTGACAAACCGAATTTAAGAGCTTAGAAATCCAGTTACTTGGTCCCTGAGCTTCCCCTGGGGGGAAGGGAGGGATCACAGACCCTGTGACAGGAGTTTTCAGCACATTTTGGGGCTCAGGTCACCCTGCAGGGGGGATAACCCAAGTTACCCCCACCCTGCACATGTGCCCTCCCCTCCCTGGACACAAAAAGATGCATTACCAGAAAACTGCAGAGTTTTCCTCATGGTGAAACACCTCCAACCTCTGCTCCCCAGGGCCTGGTTTAGGGGAAACAGCTTAAATAGCTGCAGGTGAGGCTGAGCCATCACTTCCCCAAAGCTCCCAGAGCCCTGAACAAACCAGCACCTTCCTCAGCCAGTAACTCCTGAGCTGCTGGGCTGGAGAACCCAGCCCTGGTGTTGCATCAAAATGTTCAGGAAACCCATGAATGAAAATGAGTTTGTTTTTCAATCCATCTGCTCCAAAAATAATTTCTTTCCCGTGATAACCTCGCTCCCTAAACACAACAAATTTCTATTTTCTGGGGTTATTTCTCATTTGTGAATTAGCTCCTGTTTCCTCTAAGCACCTTTGCAGGAGAATTCTCCATGTAACTAAACTAAGGTAAATCTGGAGTAAAAGCTCTGATTCCAAGGGAATTGCTCCCAAATCGAGCTGGTGCCAGAAAAAGCTGAGTCTGCCCTCAAAACCCTCTCAGTGTCTCTTTCTCTCTGCAGAATCTGCCCTTCCATCTCTGCCTTCCTCTCAGCCTTTCATTGCTTTGTAGGGTTCTTTTTTTTTGCACTGCCCTCTATTAATCTTCCAGAAAATCAGCTGTCTGATCACAAACACAGAAAATTACATTATTCACTGCAAACCTTCCTACCTCCAGCACCTCCACCAGGCACTCTCTGATGGGCACTTTATATCCGTGGGGTCTCATAAGGATGAATGTCTTTTAATTAGGCACAAACTGCGCTCATTTAGGGTTATTAGAGGTGATCTGCAAATTTATTCAGCAAATAACTGCCTTTACACAGGGAATTTTGCTGTAATATCACCAGCCTGTGAGCTGGGGCAGCAGAGCCCACGTCCAGCAGGCACGTGCTGGGACAAAGCCCATGTCAGGTGATTTTTAATCCATCTTTCCCCCATAGGGAAAGGGGAGAAAAGGTTGGAAATGGATGGGTGGTTTCATTTCTTATTTTTTTACTGCCACCATTCAGTAGCCAGGAGGGAAAACAAAGCCTTAATGTTGCAAAACAGAAGTGAAATCGTGTGTGCACACACTCACCAGGTGTATTTGTGTGTGTAGGCAGTGAAAATGTTTTGCAATCACACAGCATGTGGGAAAACACACTGAAGGCCCAAAAAAGAGTGGGAAGGGAAGGTGAGGAGGTGCCAGAGCTCTTGGGCAGGTGAGGGGCAAGAGCCTTTGGGCTCCAGACTCACCTGGATTTTCCACCACACAATTTACAGTGCTCTCATCCTGCTGAGCATCACCTTCCCTCTGGCACACACCAGACCTCTGCAGCTCCCTTCTCCCCATCAGCTTTGCCCTTCCCATGGATTTTTCCCAGGCTCTGTGCAGATGAGAGATGGTGCAAACGCCGGTGACCCGCGGCAGAGGCTGCTCTGGGGATGGGCACAACCTCACTCCCCACTTTCGGGGTGGTTTCCTGTCAGATGGAGTAAAAA